TCGGAGAAGGGAAGACAGGAGGAGGGACAGGAAGGGAGTTGGAATATGGGTGCCCATGAACAGGCTGCTAGGGAGAAACTTCAACGCACATGATTTTATTTTATTTTTTTTCTCTTGTGGCTGGAAAGCAAAGACGATCTGTATCTAAAACACCATTTTGCTATTACAACCCTGACCAGAGCCAGACTCACCCCTACTGGACCCATCCTTAGCTTTTCCTCCCCACTGTTCCCCTTCTGTGCACACATTCATGTCTTAGTGTCTCTTTAAAAAAAATGTTCTGGCTGGGTTGGAAAGGGGAGATTTTTTTTTATTATTATTATTATATATATATCAAGTTTTAAAATATTGCTAGAAGTTTGTCTGGATTTACCAAAACAAGTCTGCTCTGTGCGGCCCCAAAAACTCTCCTCTGTGTCCCCCCCTTGGATCGCTGGGCAGCCTGATCAGGAAGCTTGGAGGAGTGAGGTTCCCCGATGGGGGATCGAAGCCGCAGCGTCTTGTGACCCTGTGGAGCCTCTGAGCTCCATGACCTGGCTGATTTCTCCCATTCCGCGTACGATGGTGCGTCTTTGTCACTGACTGCTGCAAAAGGAACATCACCCTGTTCGTCCTCCCTGTCCCTCCTCCCCGATGTCTTCACCTCCAACCTTCCCTTGGGTCTGGTTCTCCCTCTGCCTGCCTCTCCCTTTCATCACGGACAATTTGGAAGTCAACCAAAGGACCTCTGCCGAGGATAGGCTTGTTCTAACTCCTTCCTGCAAATGGAGCTGGTGAGAGGCAGGCAGGCGTCTGGACTTGAGCCCATGCGGACAGTGCGCCTGCCTCCCCAGGAACACCCATTGCATACAAAGACAGGACTTTGTCGAAGGAGGTTTTCTCTTCTTTTTCCCTTGGAAAAATGAAACAACAACAAAAAAAAAACCACACAAAATCCCTAAAAACAAAAACAAAAAAAACTCTTCAAAAAGACACATCTCCCTTTGCTTTCTTCCTTGGAAATATTAATTGAAGAAGAAAAAAAAAAAACAAAAAAAAAAAACAAAAAAGCGGAAAAAATAAAAAAGTTGCCTTATGGTGGAGCTGGAACTGGGAGGCTCGCTCAGCTTCCCACACCTTGGAGCGTGCTGGGCTCTCAGCCCACCTGCCCAGAGACTCCTCACGGCACTGCTGCCGAGCTGATCTTCCCCGCAGCCTTTCCCTGGACCCTGCAGCTCACTCGGACACCTCCCCCTGCCGCGCAGACCCCCTGCTGGCCCCAACTCCAGCAGGGGGAAGGTGCTGAGGGCAGTCAAATCCAAGACTTGGCGCTCATGAAGTAGTTGAAGCCGCTGCGTTGCGTATATGCTATTGTAGCGTGTACGGCCACTGTTGCGGGGAGGATGCTATGGCCTCACTCGGACTTCCCTGTGCGCTGTTCGTTGTGCCCTCTCGGGCCAGTCCCAGGGCAGCCCAGGGCCAGGGTGGGAGCTCGGTCTACTCCACTCTTTGCCTCCAGCATCATCAGGAGGTGAGCAGGGAGATCCATCGCAGCAGCTAGAGGGACTATTTCTTGCTGCGAGCAAGGGGCGGGGGGGCAAGCGTGTCCTTTGTGTAACTTGATGCTGTAGCCTGACGTGAGAGTGATGCAGTGCTGGGGAACCCCCTGGCACCCCAGGCTCAGGTCTGTTAGTGGGACTCATTAGGGGTACGAGTGGGAGACCTGCCCGTCAAAGGGGGGGGGGGGGGGGTGTGGAAGGGGTGTGTTTTGTCAGGTGGCTTCATGGAGTCTCCTGCTATGGGCAGCAGCCCTGCGCTTCTCGAAGGGCTGAGACTATGCCCCACTGCCCCTTACTTGGTTGAGGGGAAGGGGGATGACTGCAGAGCTGCTGTGTCATTTACTCTGCTTCTCTGTGCAGCACCAGGTGAACTTTGGCAGGCAAATCCTCCCCAAGCTTGTGAGCTGCGTTGCCTTGAAGCATGCGGCTGCATGCTGGGGACGTATCAGAGGGGGTGAAATTTGCTCCTGGAGCCCAGAAGTAGCACTGGAAAGTTGTGCTCCTGCTTTAAAGGTAGAAGCTTCTTTCAGCGAGAGCTGCTTGTCTTGCTGCTGCTATGCTCTATTTCCTGGGTCAGGTATGTGCTTTGTAGCTGGCTTTGCTGTGGCTCCTGGTACCTTATCCTCATGAGCTGTGGTGTGCTCCTGCGCCTGGTGAGGGGGGCGCTGCGATGGGCTACTCAAAAGATGCAGCTAACTGTATTATCCTCTTTTCCAAATCAAAAGTTGGTAATGAGCTGCAGCCTTCCAAAGTATCTGGCTGATACAGTGCTGCATCTTGTAGCTGGAAAAAGGAGTCATCTGTCTTTGTACAGCTGTGAGGCTTGTTGGCAAGAGCAGCTAGGAGGTAAGAGCAAAAAACAAAACAGAACAAAAAAAACCCAGTGAGCTTGGGCAAGTTGGCCAGAGCAGCCAGAGCCAGCAGGGACTTGGAGATTAGAGATTAGAGGCGGCTGTGGATGCTTACTGGCCCCTGCCTGGTGGAAGTTACCATCTTCCCAAACTGACACTGCATTGAACGTGCTGCTCCAATAGGTTGGAGGAGGGAGGGAAAGGAGGTGGGCTGGTCCATGTGGAGCAGCTTTGTGAACTGCTGCTAGTAATTGAAAGCACAGCTAGGGTTTGAGTGAGGCTGGGTAGCTGCTACTTTGCCATTTCCTCATATTGTGATCTTGTTCTGGACTGTCTACCATTACCACATCAGCCCTGCAGCTTGGTACCACTTGGAGGCCTGGTTTCAGCACACAAACCTGTCCGAGTCCTTGGCTTACTCTGCTACAGCATCAGTGGTCTGGAGTCCCAAAGCAGTACCCAGGCTAGATTGTCAAGCAACGTTTGTACAGTGGTGCAGCCTTGGCTGTTACCTCTGAATTTCCCTACTGTTGAGGGCTGGAGTCAGGCATCTAATGTTATGAATGTGGCAAAGTTTGACCCCAGTTTGGGAGGGAGGAGCCCTGGGGCTATAGACGGGGGATTGAGCAAGGACACTAGAGACTTTCTACTGGTTGTTCTCAAGTGCAGGTGGGTTTTACTTGATGCCCCAGGTGGTCCTTGCTGCTGTGTTCCCTGCATTCCTCTCATTGGTGTATGTTCTCTTTTAAAGCCAATTGTCTGCATCTTATTTTAGCAACAAACAAAATAGGATACTAGGAAAAATAAGCTTCTGCTGTGGAGTTGTTGCTTGTGGAGCAGGCTATGGAATTGCTCCGGTAGTAGAAGAGGCTAAGAAACATGCCTGAGTGTTTTTCAAAATCTGAATTGATCTTAAATTATTATTTTAATTTCCCCAGCTGAGATCCTAGTTTTGGCCCAGAACAAGTTTCCCCCTCTGCTGAGTCAGTGGTTTGTCGCATCAGTGTGGCTGAGGGCCCTGTTTGAAACAACCTCAGTTTTATAAGAGAGGTTTGGTCAGAAGGGCAATCCTAGCTGTCATGCTGCAGTCTGGATTTGCATGCTGTTGGTCTCTGTTAGAGATGACAGGAGGTTGTGTGTTAACTGTGCCTTGTTTTAATTTCTGTATTGGACAGCAGCATGTCCAGGGAGTGAAGGAAAGCTGGAAATAAACAGCCTCAAGGCAGCTGTTACTTGCTCCTGTGTGTCTTGCTGTGGACTGAAATAACACAGGGCAATACATTTGTTTTCTGTCGCTAGAGCAGGGGAATAAAAGGCTTGCTGTTGGCAGCCCCAGCGTAGGGGTTGTTACCTGCGTTAGGGGGAGGGCGCTTCGTAGTCTTCTGGTTACAAGCAAGTCTCTTGCGGCCTTGTGCTGCCTGGCAGCGTTTCGCAAGGCTGGGGATGCAGAGTGCTTGGTGTGCCAAGCCCGAGGAGGGGGCCGATTGCTCTGAGGTTGACTTGGGCAAGGTTTTCCAGTGTCTTACAGCGCGCGCAGGGGACAGATCTTTAAGTGCACTCTCCTTCTTGCTACGCGAAGCCTACCACTGCTGTACAGACGTCGTACAGGCATTGCATGCAGCTTACTCCACCTCTGGGGAAAGGAGACAGCTGTCCAAACAGAGAGGGGTTTTGCTTTTGAGGAATTTTGGATCCCTCTTGCCTTCCTGAAAATCCTGCTGAGGAAGGAGTTTGGCCTTGCTTTCAGCTTGAATGCTTCATCATGATCGTATTTCACGCTTTTTTGTTTTAGTGGTCTGAGTGGTCCGGCACACTTATTGCTGTTACTGCAGTGCCGCTCGCTGACGTGGTCCGCAGCTCACAGTCACTGCGCCTGGTTGGCATCGAGCCGCCAGCGTGGCCTGAGGGAGCCACCGGCTGCTTTCAGAGAGGCGCGCTGAGGCTGTCGGGCAGCTGGTAATGCACAGCCTCTGGCCAGAGCTGGGGGAGCTTTCTCCATCTCATCCCCCTGCCCTGGGAGGTCCTGCCACAGGCTGTCTCCCCTGTCTGAGGTCCTGGATGTTGGCCCTTCTTTGAGGTGTGGGTAGTTGCGACCGGTCCAGCGCTCTGTGGTTTGGGCTCAGTAGTGGAGGTGGAAGGCACGTGTGTGCGTGTTTTGGAGGAGGCATTATTGCTTTGCCATGTTCATTTAAAAAGAAACAACAAAAACAAAACAAAACAAACCTGCTGCTCCATTTGCCTGCCTGTCCCTCTTCCTGCTGCTTCCCTTCGCGCTCCTCTTTAGTGGCTTTTCACCATAACCCTTGGGTTCCCTTGACGTTCTGCAACTGCTCTTTTTGCTTCTGACTGGTCAACTGTACTGTAACAAAATGTGTTAACCTCAGTATCCTGCCACGTTTCCTTATGCGTTCAGCATGGCAGTGCAGAGGGGGCCTTTTAGCTGTTAATGCCTTTCCAGTTATTTTATCAAAAGGAAAAAAAAACTGTAAATGTAGCAAGCTGTGTTTGGAATGCTTATCTTCTCCCGCGTCTCTTCTCTGAGACTGGTTACGTCACTTCGTCACTGTTTTGAAATGGATGCTAGGCTCTTAAGAGAGGGTTGCTACACATGATGTTAAATGCTTCACTGACTCTTTTTTTTTTTTTTTTAAAGTTTTCAATACATGTAATAGATGAATGAATTTTTTTAAAGAAAATTTTCATCTCAGTGGCATGCAATGGGTGGATGGAGGGCAGCGTTTCAATGAGTAGTTTACAGTTTCACTTTCTGCAGACACTTGAACATAGGACCGTGTATCTGTGACAAGCACATTGTGTTGGTGGGAAGCTCCAGAAAAGCATGAAACGGCCTGGGCATCAACCGACCCGTTTTCAGTTTGCGTAGATGTGTCAGTGTGTTGAAGCGTGCTTTGGGTTAACCTGAGATTCCCCTCTCTTCCCCTCTGTGGCTTATGTCCACAGTGTGAGTCTTGCCCATAAGCTGGCTTGTGCCAGCAACATCCTCCACGGGAAGGGGTGCTTGGCAGCCCTCCACCCTTTGAGCCTCCCTGATGTAGCATTGTGTGCCTGCAGGGCATGGCAGCCAGCCCACTCCCCTCTGCTGCTGCCCCCAGCCTTGCCTGATCCCCTTGGGGTTGGAAATCTTGGGACCGTGACTCGAAAACGAACACTGAGCTTTACGTATGTAAGGCTGGAGTAGGTAGCCCCCTGGCCCCAAGGGCTCACCCTAACCTGCTCAAATTGTGTGGATTAGACTTTGGCCTTTCAGTAGCTCACCTGGAACAAAAGGGGTGATGGTTTGATGTGCTGGCCCTTCTCAAACTTTGTGTGTCCCAACCTCAGCCTTCTGTTTCCCAAAACTAGAAAGTGTGTGCAACCTTCTTCAGCTGCATTTATTGTAGAGACAAACTTAAAATGACTCATCACAGACCATATGTCACTTAGGATGAAAATCTTGTTAATATGGCCCGCTGTACATGATCCATCTTCTGTCGATAGTACATAATCTTTGACCCATGTGCTAGGATCATCATCACATATAAAAGGAAAAGAGAAAAATGTAAAATACTTGAATGAGAGCTTGTATTATAACATTAATATTATTCAGAGTATCTGCTTTCTAGGCTGATGTGATTCATTATTCTAGTAATGCTTTAGTCCTTTGTAATTTGTGGTAATTATGCTTTTTCCTTTTTAATACAAAAAAAAATGTATAAAAATAAAAACTTCAAAAGACAATGCAGTTTGGGTTTTCTGTTCTAGTAATCTACTTACTCTCCTGAGAGAGCTGTAGGTTCTGTGAATGGGTTGAGTTCATATGTGTATGGCTGTAAGAACTGGAGGAGGGTGGGGGAAGAGCTGGCTTTCGTGGGCAGAATTAAGTTGACATCAGGTAAGTGCAGTGCAGGTCAGCTCTATGCGTGTTCTCAAAAGAGCTTGCTTAGGAAGGACATGGACCCAGCAATAGTGAGAATATGTGGGGTTTTGTTTGTTTTTTGTTTTGTTTTTTTGTACTAGGCCCCCAGATGTTAAGAGGATCCTAGGGAAAGTAATTTCCAGCATGTCTCGATGTGTGGTGTAGGTACTCGCGGATGCACGTACAAGTATGAGTGTTTTCTATTGTACAGTGCGATCCTTCTTTACAGGGTTTCACCGATCTGCATGTAGCTCAGGAAAGCAGTGACCTTCCCCCCCCCACGACATGAAAGTCCCTTTCCATAGTTTTGTCACTTTGATTTGTGCCGCCTCCTGGTGTGTGGGAAGTGAGATGAGGCTGAACAGTAGGAGGTGAGTTACCAGGACTTGTGTCATGTAGATTCCAGACTGAAGGGACCTTCCCATGGGAGCAGTGACTTGGAGGCTTATTTTCTTCATTCGCCCATGTCAGTTGTTTTACCAGTAAAAGCACAAGTGCTCCCACTTGCACTTTGCTGTATCCCATGTGGAAGAAACTTGCTTTACATTTGCAGAGATCAGTTTGCGGAGCTGTGGATGTGACAGCCCTTAATTCAGATCTGTACTAACGTCTTGCACAATGAGGAACTGCTCATGGGAAGCTAGAGCCTCTGAGGTGTGTATAGAGGAGTGTTTCTAAAGCCATGGCCCCATTGCCTTTCCATTGCGTTCCAGGACAAATCATCCCACGTTCAAGGCATTCTGAGATTGGGTAAGCTGAGTCTCAGCAAAATAGTGCTTTTGAATCCCTACAGTGTGTAGTTCTAGTAATTTTACTGATATTTCTATAGGATGCAGCTGAAGGACTAGTAATATGGCCAAAAGTATGGCCTGTGAAAACTGAAGTGTTTTGACCTTCATCAGAGTACAGGAACCCAAAAAACAATCATGTGGCCTAGAACACATCTGGCTTAGGTGCAGGCAGCCAGAACCAAGGAACAACGCAAGTCATTGCAAAAAAAACAACCAAGCAAACGAACAAAAAACCACCTAAACTTGTTTTGAAAATACCTTTCTAGAGCAGGTTTTTGTGCCCTAGACAGCAAGTGCAGGAATCTCAAGTAGCATATTTGAGTTCAGCTTTGGGTTTTGTTGCTTAAGAGCAATAACCTGCTTCCCAGTTAAAATACTGTTTGGCATAAATCGCTGTCTCTAGCTCTCCTGGTCACTGGGCTGTGCAAGAACTGCAAGCTCGTGGGGCTCATTCTGCCCTCTTGGGAGAATCGGGGATGCTTTCTGAGAGCGGTGTGAGGCTGAGGAGGACTCTATGTCTCTTGTAGGCTTTGGTTTGTCTGAACAGGGTATCTGTTCCATGCAGATAATCCAGCAGTCCCAGGACTCCATAGCACTGGTTGAACCTGCCAAACAGGATAAACATCACTGGAAGTTACTGAGGTTACCTCACGCTTCCTATTTCCATCTCCTTGGATAAGCCGCCTATGTCATTTCTCCCACTGTACCAGCCTCCCTCACAGGCTTATCCGTCAGACTTGCTGAAGCCTGGGTGAAACTTCTCCTGGAACTGTCCTGCTTGCTGCCTTATTACTGAAAAAAAGCTGAACAACAAGTTGTCTGTCTCCAGGGTTGCTCAGAGCTGCAGGAGCAGCTGGGCAGTAAGCTGGAGAGCCGCATTGCCCATGTCTGTGTACTCTGAGGCCAGGCTGCCCAGAGACGCAGCTGCTGTGCTGCCAGCACTGCAGAAACCATCAGCTGGCATAGCAAGTCTGCCCAGCGAGCCTGAGGTCTGTGGGGATCCCTGTCCTGACATAAGCTGAGCTTCAGAGGAAATGACTGATAACAAGAGCTGGCTCTATGTTTTGGGTGTTGCCCTGCGCTTAGGCTGCAGGAGAACTGCCATATTTTCTGTTCCTGCAGGAGAAGCAAACCATATTAAAGGAAACATTTGTATGAATTTAATGCACGTCTGGAAGCTGGGAACTATTCCTCTACTGCTTTAGTGTGCACCTCTGAACTACCTACTGAAACTAGGCTCTCTCCAGTGTAAAAGGTGGCTGAGAATTTTTGCCAGCAGGTATTGACTGTGATTGTTTGGGCAAGATACCTGATCAAAATGCTGCTAATCCCAGTGTATGGGGGAAAAAGACAGGCAGGCTCCTTCTGCAAACTTGTATCAGCTATGCAATTTGCCCTTGCTCTCTCTTTTTTCTAGATTCTATGCAGTATCTTCTAAACTCCTGGGAAGAACCTTGCAAAGAACCATCTTTGACCCTGAGCTTGTCCTGGGGAAAGTCCCGGTGATACCTGCTACTGTAGACAGTATGTGCTTTCCTCCTATGTAATCTTAGGAAACCTGAAACACCCAGCCTCAGCTGCTGTGTTTGTGCTTTGTAGAAAGTTTCCAAGTCAGCTGATGGAGAAATGTAGATCTCAGGGAGGTGGCTGGCAGCTGTATAGGCGATCAGCTGGAATCCTCTGAAATCCAGACCTGTGCTGTAACTGTTTTTAAGAACTGATAGCATTTGTCCTATTAGGTGAACTAGAGACGTTTCTCTGCTCATACACGAGTTACGCAAAACTGTTTGACCCTCAAAAGGAGCTTTGCCTGTCAGCAGTGACAGTGCGCAGGCAGGAGGGGAAGGGGAAGCTGAGCAGTGCCCACACGTACTTGAGGTGGTGGAAGTCGTGGAATTCTGGCGACGGCAGCAGGGGCAGGTGGTAGCCACAGTGCGAAATGCTTGTCGTTAAAAGAACCAGGGAGAACCACACTGTGATTGAAGCAATATGAGACCCCATGATCATCGGGCCAGTCATAACAGGTAACATGTTGGAGAGCTAGAGAGGAGAAGCAAACTCTGCCTCATTAATGGGTCCACAAAATGCAGATTCCTCTCCTAGCAGCTGAGTTGCTTAACCTGGTTGATATATTGCATTAATTTTGTGCATATACCACAAAGGCAAGATCCCTCTGCAAATACCTTACTAAAATTCCAGCATCATCAAAGAAATAACTTGCTCTGAGGCAACGGAGTCATACTTGCTGCAAAACATACCCATGGTCCAAGCTCCCTCAGCTTGTAGTAAAATTTACATGCGAGTTCAAAGGTGGGTTGTGAGGACAACATGATTTTAATAACTTACCCTGGCTGGAGTCAGGGGGTCTGAATTTGAGCTTCACTTTGGAAGAATGCTGAAGCTACTCTTGGGCAACCTAGCTAAACCGGGGCACTGGCCTGTGGGCATGTGCAGTCAAAGGTAGCAACATGATGATGCCAGCTGCATCACTTCTTTGGGTAGAACAAGTAACACAAATGGCTGTCATTGCCCAGACCAAGCTTACAGCAGCAGCTAGGCTCAGCTGGACTCCTGAATCTGAAAAATAAGTTTGCTGTCCAAAGACTGACAATTAAGGAGACTCTGGTAGCTACAGTTCATGGAGCTGGTGCTGCAACCCAGGACTGTTGTTCCAGCAGATGGTATTTAGAAATGGAATAGTAGAATCTTCTATGGAAATGGAATAGTAGAATTTGTGTTTTTTTCACGAAAAACCTTGGCTGATGCAGAACTGGGAGACAGGGGAGTTCTGCAAACACAGACCTAAGCCACCAGCATGACAATCATGACAGAAAGCTGAGTCCCTGCAGTAACCCAGACTGTGCAAATGTTGTATCTTGTGCTAAAGAAAAATCTGTGCTTCCAGGTCTTGCTCTACTTAAGGAAGCACCATTCAATTATTTCCCCTGTTGAGAGGCCCTTGGATCTGTACTCCTTAAGCTAGCAGAGTCCAGTATAAACAGACAACGTAACGCTTCTACAGCTATGCTTCTTGGAAACGCAGCTTAGCTTTCTCTTCCTAGGAAAGAAGCTTGCTTTCCTTCTCTTACCACTTCTCCTCATCCCATGGAAATCACACTCCACGCGGGGACTAGAGAATGACCGTGGGAGAATCCACTTACTAGGTGCTCTACCGGGTGAGCATAAATGGAGACCACACCAGTGGGAGCTGTCCATTCGTGGTGCTTCTTGTGAATGTGCTTATATAGGAGTGGGAGATGAGCAAGCCTAAGTAGAGAAAATAGAGAAACGTTGGTTCTGAGCCCCATAAGAAAGGAACATAGAGTAACATATAACATAACTGAATTTCTGCTGGGGGACTTGCTCACACCCCTTCTTTAATGTAGAGATTTTAGAGCATCTGGGAATAAGAGTGTAGGACTCCTGCCTTCCCGCTCTCTGGCACTGAATCTTCACTCAACGGATGGGTCCACTGGCTGCTGTTAAACACAGAAGTCCACACACATCCCATAACTCAAAGTCCCTGAATGACTGATTTGCTTGAATCTGGGAGCACCTTTCGGGAGAATACTTGCTTTATTTTCACCATTTTAGATTTCTCCCTACTGACAACTGTTAAAGATAGGATTTTAGGTTACATGGGCCCTTAGTAAGAAATGGCCTTTTTAGGTTCTCTGTGTGCCTTTGTCCGAAAGGGAAATCTACCTATTTCTGGGAAAGCTGTGCTTGCTTGCCACACAGTCTTGAACGGTTTCTTTTTTCCTTGCTTTAGTTTTTTCCTCTAATGTTGGTGCCCGTGCTCAAGCGGCCTGCAGTGTCAGCATCTAGGCCCTGTTTGGTAGGTGTTGTACAAGTGAATGGGCGATCAGCCATTGATCTCTTGAGCTTTTTTCTTTCAGGATGTTGTCTTGTTCTCTTTTTTAAGTAGTTGGATTATAGCTTTTGTATAAAGCTAGCTGCTTTTTTTTCTACCTTAGCCTCCAAGCTGCTCCACATCTGTAATTTTACCCAAAATACTTTTGCTCGTTATAGCTACATGCAGCATCCCAGCACCAAAACCTCATATAGCAAAGGTGGCTTCCAATACCTGTAAGTTTTCCCATTAAATACAAGACTGATGGAAGAGTGGGGACAGGCCTATTGCTGTCATAAGAGAGCAGTATAGTTCTTAAGCTTAAAGGCATGGGGACAGAGAGTCCCGTTCCTGCGTTCAGCTCACCTGTGAGAATAATAGAAGAGAATTTCCTCTATTGAGGTGAAGATGCTCAGCTCTGCAAGGAACCAGTGGAAGGTGGGTATTTCCTTGCTGAAGGTGTTGCCCCACCCTTTCATGATGTAGAACATGGGTATAAGCATTAGGAAGGAGACAAAGAACTGATTATACAGCACTGTGTATATGGCTTGTTGCAATTTCTTTGTATCCACCTGCAAAAGAGAAGTCAGGACTTCAGACTAAACCAGAAGCAATGTGGCTTTGAACTGGGAGGATAAAGAGCTTTAAGAGGTATGGGCTTATTTTCATATTAGTTTGCAGATCAACTTTTTAATAAGCTGTCGGACAATCCAGATCTGATCAGCAGCATAATTACAAGACCTGCCTTCTTCTCTACAGTTGATGTACAAGACCCAACTTGATTCTTCTTGAGTCCTATCTACTTGCAAGAGCTTAACAGATTCTCCTCCCCTCTGCAAGCCTGAGACTGCGGGAAGTGTTTAGCCAGTAGAAGAGGCACAATGAGAAATACTTACAGGATCATTCTTGCCCAGCTGAATGCGATAGCGAGTAATGAAAGTTGGCTTTCCTGTTACGTCAGCCATCATGAGGATTCCATTGAAGCTCCAGAAAACGAGGCTAGGCACCAGTGCAGTCCCTGTGGCATGAGGAAAGGTAGAGATATGTGAATAAATGGGAGATACAGGTAAATTATAAACAAAATACAGTGGACTAGTATCCAGAAGGCCCTGGCTAGGGCCTGGCTGTGCGAGGTGCGCATTCCCTGCCCTGAGGTGCTTTAAAATGGAATACAGGTAGATTCTGACACCGTGGTAAGACCTAGGGGATAGCGAGGAAGTGAGCGCACAAGTGTCCCCTAGGCTGAAACTTGCCACAACTGAGGGTAAGAAAGGGCTCTTCTGGGAGGTTGTGGGGTTCTCTGTCAGGGGTAGTTTTTAAATACAGGTTGCACGTGGCTGAGTTGATCCTTGGCCCCTTCCAACATCCCTGCCCGGCCTGTTTACCAACTGTTAATGACAGACCGAGAGTTGCATAGGTGCTACAGCAATAGTAAAATTCACTGATTTGCTTTAGTTTTCAGTTATTAGTTCTACTGAGTTGCTCAGTTCTCCGAAGAGAAAAGAGCGTGGCTTCACAGAAAAGCCATTTCTGTGCTTTCAGCAGCAGCAAAAAGGTCACATTTTTACTCTGTATAAGGTACCCAAGGATGAGCTAGTCCAAAGGAAGCACAGTTGCACTGTGTCAGTTGTGGATGGCTTTGAGGCCTATATGCGCTTTTTCAGTTGGGGGAGTTATGAAGTATGGGAAGGTACGTCCACATCCCTCTTCTGGGGGCAATAGCTGGATGGCTTCTTCTACAGTGGAGGGTTGTTAATCTGAGAACTCACCAAAGAGGAAGATTGCCCACTCCCTTCCCTCAAAAAAGTAGTAGAGCTTTAGCCATGTTGCTTGCCAGAAATATCCTGAAGTCTCCCAGATCTTCTGTACATACCTGTGGAAGCAAGTGCTCTTAGTCACCCAGGTTTTAATCAAACACTTCTCCCATCTTTGTCCACGAAAATGTTTCTCCCCAAGCCCTTTCGTTTGAATAATCTTACCAAGAAACAGTGTTCATTAAGGCAGCGAATACCAACGGCCCCATAACCAGGACAAAGGCAGTGATCTTCATGGCATCCCAGACCTTTTCCTCCTATGAGCAAGCAACAACAGTGAGCATGTGCTGCTGTGTCCTACACTAGCCTTTTCTTGTACTTCAAAGAGAGGAGATAAAGCGGGCCATAATAGGACTGCCTTTGTTTCACAAACATTCTAAAGAACAAAGCAACAAAGCTGTTGTAGGACACTGTCTGTGGTGGTGGAGTTCACGCACACATCCATTGGCCATGCTTACAAAGACCTGAAGTGTCACTGACGTGGAATTTCTCTGGAATTACCAAAGGGAGAGAAAGGACTGCTGATTTTTCCCTCCCTGTTTTTATTGGGCATATTTCTCAATATCTGGAGGACTATCTGGGACTTCTGGATAACTCACAGTAGTAGAAATAGAAGAGCTGGAGGTAAGGAATGATACTCTGTCTTATCACCTCTCTCACTCTGCCAGTATGTGCTCTCTCCCACTGTGTAATACACTTCCCCTTGTAGTAACAAAGAACTTTTATGCCTGGATGACCTGGTTAACAGCTCCAGTTAATTCAGAACCACTTCTCGCAACATCATTCTTAGCTTTGAAGATTGATTCTGAAGACAGACTCATGTACCCAGAAGTTAGCCTTTTGTTCCCAACTGTAACAAAGGTCTAATATGAGAGATTACCTCTCCCTGCATAGTTTACTTTGCTATGCCTTTAGCCCGTCACAGATACAACACAATTCTAGTACTAAGAGTACAACGTGGCTAGTAGGTACCATGTGCCATCTGTACAGAGCAGCTACACGTTCAGAAGGATCTGAAATACTGAACTTTTCAAAAGTGGAAGTACTCTGTACTCAGTCATGGAAATGTTATCTACTAAATACTCCTGCACAGCGCATAAAGGCATCTGTGATGTTTGCGTGACTTCTATCACAGTAAGGATTTTAACTATACAGAGCAACCATAAGAGTCAGAAAATGATCCATGGGGACCTCTTGAGTCTAGTAATACAAACATTCAAAAAGCTGTGTTCAATATATCCGAGTATTCAAAACCTCAAAATCAAGCTGTTCAGCAAAGACATGGCAAGTATGTAAGTATCCATCTGTCTTTTAAAGTAGCCCAAGTTGGAATTGGTTCCAGAGTCCAGAAATTTTAGTTTTGGTTTTCTTGGGTGAATATCCATAATATTTATCTATGGGGTAAAGGATGAAAAAAAAAATCAGTGCAATTCTAAAATAATATACTGTCATAACTGGCTAGTGTCTTGTTTGCAACTCTATCCTTCCTGTTTAACTGTGTTGTTGTGCTGCAAAAACAGACTGGAGTAAAAATAGCATGATTCATAGTTGCTGCCCTGTTCCTCTCCTGTCAGCGAGGACAAACAAAGAGATCGCTAATAAATGCTGCATGCAGGTATGTTTATAGTAATGCAATACAGAGAAATCCTCTTTATACAACTTTCAGTGTTAAGAGCTCTTCAAATTCTGTAAACACAGCTACAGAATATTTACCATCACTACCCAGAATCTTTATGCAATATTTATCTGTTCCGGGACAGAGCTTTGCTGATTAGCATGGAAACTTTCCTCAGTAAAACAAACAAACATTTGTTGCTGTCATCTGGGTTTTTATCAAGTTAGTAACCGGAGAGGAAGTAATTTAAAGGACTCTCGCCCTACAGCCTTATGTTTATGAACCCCATAGGCTTACATTAAAAACAATATAATCAGCTGCCACCATTATCACTGAACTGAACTAGAAATGCAAGGCTAGTGGAAGAGCAATCTATTCCAGCTTCAGACAGGGCATGCAGGATTTGGGGCTGGAGATTTGCTCTCTTAGCATTTTCATATTTCCAGTTCCATCCATGTGACAACTCATACATGCTGACATAAGGTAAGAATTCCTTACGCTTTAGACCCTGGAGTACTATCTATGTCTACTTTAGAAAAAAGGCTACAAAGGCTATACAAGGCTTAGAGAACTTTAACAAAACAGTATCCTATAAATCCTTGTTTTTCTTGGGATGAAGAAAGAACTTACCAAAGAAAAGCTGTAACGTCATAGAGTGTCAAGCAGTATTTCAGGCTCTTTAGCATCTTCCAACTGAAGATCTCAAGAGTTTCAAAAACTCATAACTCCTAATACACATCTGAGGCTATGTATGTCTTGCTTTGAGACGGGGTGGGGGGGGAGAGTTGCTAAAGCTCGGCACTTAGGCTATTTTAAAAGGCCTTTGGCTAGAAACTGTCTTGTTTGAGACTCTGCTTTTATCTCACGTGAGGAGGTGATTACATGAATGATCATACAATATAATTACATGAGCTGTAGAAGCAGAGAAGTTTACATTAAAAAAAAATCCTGTCCATCAAGTCCAGTTCCCTGCTAACACCCTGTTTCTCTTCATGCCAACAGCTCCATTGGAGTGATTCCCAAATTCTGATCCACAGATCGCCTGAGTTCTTGTCCTTACAGGGCTTGCACTAATTAGCAAACTCCTGAAGCGCAGAATAGGGTTGTTGCCTGCAAAGTAAAGAGACTAGGGCACACCTACTATGAAACGTATTGTTTAGTGTGACCACTTTGAGGACCAGGCCTAGTCAGAAGGCCCAGCTTCTGGCTACACTGGTGTGCTGTGGTCTCTTGCCTTACTAGCAAAGATAACAGGCTCTTTGCCACTTGGTGCTGTAGCTGCAGCCCACGGGACTGGGCAAATGTTGCTGTAGTGATGACTGAGGAGCTCCTAGTTGTGCTAAAGTAATCAGAACACAGATATGTTTGCCACTTCTCTTAGAAGCTGATTCAATTAACCTGTTGCAAACCTGTTCCAGTGTCTGACCACCTTTACTGTAATTTTTTTTCCCTAGTATCTAGTCAGAATTTCCCTTCTTATGACTTAACTTGCATCCTTTGCCCCTTGCTCTTCCGCTGTGCACCTCCCTATCTTTTCTACAACCACCCAGTATAGGTAGTTGAAAACAGCAACATGAAATTATTCTAATGTGACACTAGAGTAAATAGCGTTGGCTATAGTTTTCTATAGTTAACGAGATTATTCTGCCTTCAGAGGATCTTGTAGTAGACAACACTGGATCTTAGAGAAATAGATATAAAAGGGTTACTCGATTACTACTAGTAGCTCGTTGGAAGGTGATGCTCCAGAAAGATTCCATACAGCAGTGCTGAGTCAAACTCTTCTAAATCTTAAGCAGGCAAAAGACTAGAGTGCTGAGCACAGTGAAGAGCGTGACTCTGCTTGGAGTTCTTACGAAGGAAAAGAGCCATTGCTTGCTCCCGTCTTATATTCTGTGAGTTTGGGAAAGAATTAAAATAATGAACACATTTATTGTCCTCCTCCTTTTGAAATAATCAAATTACGACAGGAGTCTTACTTAGGCAAAGCCTTCCCATTTGAAATAGTGCTGCCATGTTTGCTTTTCCTTCCTCTCTCCAAAATCTCAGTATGTGCTACATTTATTGAGTCACATGTACAGAATAAAATTTTATGTTACTTATACTAAAGCAAGGTAAATCTTGATTGATCATGTTTTTCCCCATCTCACTACCTACTCTTTTTTTGTTGGATAATGTTGTCTTTTCTGACTCAGAATACACCAAATACATTAGCAGAAGCATTCATGTAACCATGGCTGCTTTGGCAAACCAAACATTCCATCCAACCCCTTGGCATTAAACTCATGCTGGCATGCCAGACAGCCCAGAATCAACCAATGAAGAGTTTGGCTGGCTGCAGCCATTTCAAAATATTACACAGAACTGATGCTGTTTAAAAGAGTTTCTTTTAGGTTATTTCTAACTAGTTAATACAAAATTTGATTCAAACCAAATTCTCACCTATAAAGTAATAATAATTATTTTGCTAGTCACACTCTCAATGTAAAAGGGAAAACATAAACTAGTCAGTAAAGAACTGTAATACAAAATACAATTTTTATTCTCAAGTACTTCTTCATTTCTCCAGCAACTGTTCATGAAGAGATCTGTTTTCACTGAACTTAACCATTCCAGTTATCAGAAAAAGATAGTCTGTCTAAGCCAGGTTTTAAAATGCTTGACGTAAGCTGAAAGGGAAACCTTTAGAAAGCTTTAGAAAAAAAACCTGCCATATTTTTGAGATCTGTTTCAAAATTCACATTATTGTTTATATCCCACATCTGTTGTCCCCCTATATTTCCTCTTGCCAAGACAGTCCCAAGCTTCGACTGCACCGGTGTCCACTTCTCCTTGTACTTACCCAGGATGTATGTCTTGTTCTGACACCAAACAAACAGTCAGGCTGCTGGCAGGTGCAGAAGCTGACCAACAGGATATGTCTGTAATGATGGACTGACTGCCTAGCAGTTGCTTGGTCTGCCTTTTTCCCTCTTGCTTGAGTCTTCTATTTTAGAACTTACTTCACTGGAATCCACCCTTATAGTGCACAGGCAGTGGAAAACAACCTTGCCCGAGGGAAAAAAAAAAAAAAAAAAGGCTATAACTATTTGTGAAAATATAGAACTTACAGAAACGAAAACTTAAGGACCACCTACCTGGTCACTCCAAAAGTTGCATTTTAGCCACGCTATATGGACAGACACAGGACTATATTTCGTGTCTGGTGGGTGTCCTATCGTGCCAAGCACCACACGGATCTGAAGGCAACCAGAGTACCTGCAAGAGCTCACAATCACATTTTAAATAGATACATGACATTGCCTTAAAATTATTTCCTTGAAGTTTCTGTCATATATTTTCAACCTACTCTGCCCCTGAACTCAGGCTGCCCATTCTTTGCTCACCTCCTGCTGGTTGCAGCCTAGCAGAGTTCCTCTGTGTCTATTCAGAGCCCAGAGTTCAACTCCTCACCTTTCACTCCCGCTGCGGAAACTTTATGAGGGCTTAGGCAAAGGCGACAGGGGTGTGTTTCCAATCGAGAGCTGGCTATCCCCTCCTAGAGAAGTCATGTGAAGCCAATGCCATGTCACTGCTAGTACAGGCAGTGTTCCCTTTGCATATGCACACACTGTCACTCATTTAAGCATTTGGAATGTATCTCTGCAGGTGAGAGTTTTCCACTGAGAGTTAATGCTTATATCTGGGAATAAAAAAGCCAGCTACACCTTAAAGATGAGTATCTTTTATAATGCACTAATTCATGTTTTGAGCACAAAACAAAGCGTCAGTGCAATTGAGTAAGTCAAAAGTGTATTTGTTAAAAACAGTACGGGTTATTGGGGAATCTGGTAAAAAAAAAAGCAGTTCAGTTTTCAATATAAGTAAGTGTTGCACTAACTCTGTTGTTACAGTGTGTTTCAAACCAGTTACACCAGTTACAGTATTGGAACTACCTATAAGCAGAAGATGCAAATAGCTTAGAATGTGCTCAGTTCTGTTTAAATAAGATGTTTAAAGACCATGAAGTCTGTAATTATGGTATTACAGGTAGCAAGATGTAATTTGCAGTAGCATTTGTCTTCATTATGCAGATGTGGCCCCAATACACGTTATTTACCTAACATACAGTGCCCTATTATGAACCAAACTCTGAGAAGGGAGGGTGTTACTACTCACCATAACTTTCCAGATTTATTTTCCCACACAACAAAAAATAAGGAGTATTTCCTCTCCCTCCTAGTTAAACTTGTCTGGTGCATTCATAGGCGAAGCAATATACAGTGCTATTTTGTGAGCAACATCTCAGCTAGCCACGGTTAGAGCTGCGGAGAGATCTGCAAGCATGAGTAATGACAGTGTCTTGCTGCCTGTGCCTGGTTTCTTCTACCTCGCACTATACCTATGCTGTTACCAATTAACTTTTTCTGGAAGGAGAATATTCCCAGAACTCCCCTCCCAACATCACACTGTTTGTCCTCTTAGCGCTAAAACCATTTGCTGTTGCTTCATTTCAGATTTAAGACTGTGTTATTGTTTGCATTGACGCTTTCTCTTGACTAATTCTAACTATTTCTTAGTGACAAAAGAGTTTTTAATTCTTAGCAGTTGCTCCTAATTGTTATTTAGCATACAGCAGACTCAACAAGAAGGAAAGTGATTCCTTCAAACTATTTACACATACACAGAAGAGGAAGTGGAAAATGGCATTTCACGAGAGGGGTGCCATGTGAACGTTGTCCTGAGCTGATACTTATTTGGAATGGCTCTTCACTAGGAGAACTGTTCACCCAATACGCAAAAGTAGGTGAAAAGCCAGGGAGTTTTGCAGACCCCAGAGTTTCTTTTAAACCTGTTCAAATCAGACACAGGTTACAGCTGAAAGCTCTACACCCAATAGGAACAGACAACCAGTATTTTAGTCATATGAGGACAAAAATGTCATTTACTTTTTGGACTGCAAGTCTGGGTCTAGTCCAGGTTGGAGGTTATCTAAAAGCTGCTTCTATTTGTTGGTTAGCCTGGGCCCTGCACTGGTATCTTCATCACAAAACCCTCCAGTGTTACTGCCACCTTTGCCGAGGCTCAGCTTTGAGGAGTGCAAGAAGACTGCTTTCCTCTCAGTGGAAAGGATTTTTGATCAGACACTTCATAAAATAACTTCTCTTTGTTCACTCTCTACAGTTTTTGTAGTAGTCACTGTCTGTTTTGCTGTTTGTAAAAAATATTAGAAGGAGAAACACTAGGAATTAGCTTAAAGGATAGTATAAAACCATGCTAATAATTCCACTAATGACAAAGATGAATCCTGGAGTTCGTGAACCTCAGCTCATCATTAATTCCCTGTATACTAAGCTATATTTCTAACCATCTGTGAGGGCATGTGTGTGTTGATACTTGTTGAAACACCTTTGGAACAATCCACCTAATACTTGTTGAAACACCTTTGGAACAATAGAAGTTTTAGGAAAATGGAAATGATGGTTACAGCTAAAACATGTTCAGCAATACTTTTATCTTTTAACTCTGAAGTCATGTATTTTAAGATTTCCATATATAAGCTGTCTACTCTTTGTGCTGCTGAAAAGGGCATGATCCGGAATATACAGCTCATATTGACTAGTACAAAAATGTTGAGCTAAAGCCTGTCAATCCTCCTTGCAGCGTACTACATCTACACATGGACTGGTTTTGTTAGTGTCGTCTTAACAGAGCTGTATAGAGGGTGGGAGGCCTGTTCAGGAACCTGTTCTGGAGTGATGAATCTGAAAGCAAGTCTGGTAACTTCCAAATATAAGAACTATGGGACTGACATATTTTAAGAGCAGTCTGCCTTTTCCAGCTATTTTTCCTTTGTATGCAGCTGAAATTAGCCATGATGAAAAACACAAATTCTGTTCTCCTTGAGCAAAAGGTCTGTTTCAAACTACCGCCAGCACTCAAACATCCTAGCTTTTTTTTCTAACCTAGATGCAAACTGGCAAACATATTAAGCATAATTTATCCCAACTGATTTTTTTCCTGCAACATATTTTCGATTAGGGTAACAAAGCATGCACATTTCTGTGTCCTGAGAAGATTCTTCCTCCCTTTTTGCCTGGATTCAACATAAATTCAAGAGCTGGGCTTATGAGCAAGAAAAATAAAGTACATACCTTACTCTGAACTCTTTAAGTGAAAAACAAACAAACAAACAAAAACCAAGAATCTAATTCCGTATTTATGGAGTGCTGCAATCTATCCCGATGTATTTACCTGATAACAACTTAGGTTTCTTTGCCCAAATTCAAGTGACCATAGGAAGAAAGGTGATTGCTTTCTGCTAGTCTAGCATGTTGCATAATATATGCATTATATGACCTAGAGACTGCAGGTCTAAGGTGAGATGGCAAAACAGTAACTATCATCTACGAAGATAAGCTTTGAATTAAAATGAAGTTCAGTAAATACTGCTTGATGTCCGTAGATGCTGACACCATCAAGGACACTTGCTAGAAAGCAGCAGTATTCAAATAAACTTATCCTAAGAGGTCTTACATTTCTGCTGAGGTATGAATACTCAGCCTGGGACACCGAAACATGTCGGACACGAAAGACAGTGACTCCCTCGCCCCGCCAGATAATTGTATCAGAATAGTAAGGAGGTAGCCGAGGTTCAAGAGGACAGACTCCAAGGGAACCCAAATGACAGGCAGGAAACAATTCTGCAGCAGTAGCAGAGCTGCAGAATTCTAGGTTGCAAACCTGCCCAAGAAGGCTGGCAGCCCGGACGAAGCGAGGTACTACCTCCGCTTAATTGTAACTACACAGGCTTCCAAATACATTGCCTGCCTGCCGGCAGCATCGGCCAGCAAAGCAGGAGAGCTGGCAGCGCCGTTACGCCAGACGCGTTACATGAGGCTGCTTTACCTGACGGTAAAGCTCCTGTTGCTAATGTAACCTAAATGGCATTTAAGGGGGCGGCCCGTCCCCTCGGCGAGGGCAGCT